TATCGCCGGCGGCAGAAAATTCGCCGGACGGAAGTTGTTCCGATAGAAAGATGAGTCGTTTCTATATAAAACTGTCTTTTGAGTTGATGACAATTTACCCTTTTTGATTTAACATAAATTACACAAAATGCCAACGACTTGTCTTTTGAGATTTCCGATGTCAAATTATTTTGAGATTAGGTATGAGTTTTGAATCTTTGAATAAACAATCCTTAAATCATAGTATTCTACTTCCATAAATAAAATGAATTTTGTTTGTTGAAATTTTTAGGCATATAGAGGCATAATCTCAGTTACGATAATTGTTGTATTCAATGGTTTATATAATAAATTGTCTAGAGTTTAAAATAATATTTGGCGGTATTATGCTTTAATAATTTAGAGTTTTATTATGGGGTCCAATATAAAGCTTAATATTCCTTATCTTTGTGGCTCAACTTTTTGTCTCGAGACCACCCTTTTTCTTTTTAATTCACTTGAAATTTTATACATTTAAATTAATGTGTGGAAGCAGTGCGACTAATTATGGTGCCAAGTCGAATAATACACTAAACGATTATTTTTGGTTGTGGAACATAAAATTTTGGAGGAAAAAAATGGCACTAATCATGCTCTCTGTGTGTTTATTGAATGTAGTGTCCACAAAATATTTTAGCAAATGATTTGGCGTATATTCTTTAGGCAATCAATTTAAAAGAGCATATATATTATGTTTTTTGGACAACAAACTATATATATTTTTAAACTATATAATAACGTGTAAGATGATTTAAAGACTATAAAATTAAAGACTTAGATGTTGTATGAAAAGTTCAACTTTTCTATCTTGAAAATATGAAAAATTAGAGGCTTGCCACTAATTTTCCTTGGTTAAATTCAAAATAAAATGTTTCCATACCATAATATAATAAATTAAATTGAAACTAGATTTAAAATTGGGGGAAAAAAGGTCCACATCTTAGCTAACAAATTTAGTCTCCAGAGCTGGAAAAAGACAAAGTGAAAGAGACCATTGAAAATAAAAAGGAATCTCAAAATTGTTGAAAAACTATAACCAATTTGATTAAGGGTGATTTGCAACAATAACCAAAAAAAATATATATTTGCAATCTAATAGTATGATGTGGAGAAATAGGAGCCATTAGATTAGGATGATTTAGTTAGTTAGTAAAATATAAATTTTTTTTAGGTTATTTTAGCCAATTTCCCTATGATTAAAGTGTATAATTACTTCCTAAAGTTTATTAATTAGCCTTGATTTTGATTACAAGTCAGAGCAGTGGATGATCAAACCATAACCCGAGACTCGGTACAATCCGGTTAACCCGGAAACCCAACTAGCTTAAACGCTGCGTTTTGAAAGCTCATTTTTGTGGAAAATGCGCGAGTCGTAGCGGAGTTGTCGCCGGGAGAAATCAGGATGCTTCGCGGCAGAGGCTCGTGGGTCGGATTCTCGACCCGGTTGAAGCATTACACGATCCGACGTCTCTGTACCAAAGCAGAGAATGGTGGGAACAAAATCGAGAAGAAGGAATCTAGTGTTGCTCAATACAACGAGGCTGAATCTAGCGTTTCTCGGTACGATGAGACGTATAAGAAGCTTGATAAGCTCGATTTCGTGACTGCTGCGAAGATCTTGTTCACTGAACCACCGAAGAAGAATAAATTTGGGTAATATCTACACTTGAGATTCTGGGTTTTAAGGGTTTTTAACTCTCGAATTCATGGTATTTTGGGTTTTCGATTTCTGGACCAAAAATCTGTACTTTGAAGATTTAGGTTTGATTCATGCTTCAGTAAACCCTAAATCATGGAAAGACTCTATTTTTACTCGTTTTGGATTGGTTTTCTGAAACTCTCTCTGAAGTAAGTTGAATTCTTGTGCTGGTTTTCATTGAAGTATGTTCTCATTATGGGTTTTGCTTTGTGTTAGGTTTGATTGGCATGTGGTGCAATTCATTATCGTCTGCTTGCCATCTGTAGGTATTGCAGTTCACTCCCTTCAAATTTCTCTCTGAATGTGTTCTGTTAAATATTTATGTCAATGATCTCAATGTTACTTGTTTGAAATGGCTATTGCTTTTCTTGTAACAGCTGTGTATCTGGTTGCTCAATATGCTCGTCGTAAAATGAGGATCATGGACGCAGTGAGTTATCGTTCTTGTTCGCTATCAAAGTGATATGAGATTATGAAAGAGATTAGAGTCATGTCTTGATGTTTGTCCTTCATGTATACAAATGATGCTTGTATCTTCTGAGCATATGAATTCATGATATTGGACTTATTTTCAGGAACTTGGAG